AATGGTCTGGATTTAAAACCAGCTCATCGGGAGGGTTTCTTCCAAATGATTTGCTTCACAGTCCAGCTCATCGGTAGGGAACCCTCGCAATGGTCTGGATTTAAAACCCGCTCATCGGGAGGGTTTCCTCCCGATGAGCTGCTTCACCCTGCGGCGCATCGGGAGGAAGCCCTCCCGATGGGCTGGATTCAAATCCATCCAAGAACCAAGCTATCTTGGTTCTTGGCTGGCATGCAAACCCACCCGCCCCTCCTGGAGGGGCGGGTGCTTCTGCACGCCCCTCAGAAGGCTGTTTCCTCAAAAAAAAAAGGATTCCAAGGGGCGTGGGCGTGGGCGTGCGGGGAGGGGGAGGGAGTGCGTTTATCAACACCCTTTTTGTAGTGCAGACATACATACTATGAAAAACGGCTGTGGATAGACATATCATCAAACATACCCCTACACCCCAACCCTCCCTGTAGGGATCCGCACCCACTTTCAAATGGCCGGTCAAGAGGCCACTCCCCTGCCAGATAGCAGTACCCAGAATCTCACCATTTCTAGTGCTACTCCTTCCCACCCTCCACCTCAAGTCCCTATCCGCCAATCTGCCCAGAAGAAAGTCCCAATAATAACCCCCCGGGTTTTGCCAACCAATTCAGATTCTTGCAGGGCACTACAACTCCAACCAAATACTAATACCATCTCCACAGCAACCAATTTGGACTCAACTCCAAAGGCTTCCAGGGCTTCCAGAGCAATTATCAATACAAGCAACTCAGGATCTGGAGCTGAAGCTAGGCTACCAGTGAGATTTCTACTGACATGTCTTTTTCAACATTTTTGGCCGCTTCAGATATCTGTACCACAGGTTGCAGCTCTCTTTCACCTTGTACAATTGAGAGGCACATTAGCAGTCACCTCTGGATTTGAAGCGGCATCAAGGCTGAAGGCGACTTTGAAGATTGTCTTTCTGTGTTTAAACCTGCTGACATGAGCCAAAAGTTCAGCACTATCTATATAGATTAGAGTGATATAACCCTCCAACTTGATTCAGCTGTTATTTTCTTGCTTAGTTATGCTCTCCTACCTTCCCTTTCTATACATAAATATATACATACAATATGGAGCATTGTGTTCTTCCTAAAAATCATGTCACCCCCCCCCCCAAAAAAAAAAAAATCCCTACACTACCGCTACAAAGCGTTTGAATTGCTATTCAAGCGGAAAGCATAGCGGTGATTCACAAATAGCTGCTACAATTAGTGCGCTAATATTCAAGGTTTTTTCCCCAAAATCTGTCAGCAAAAAGCAGAGAACTAAGGGAGCTACTGTAACCAGAGCAAAGTGAGCCAAATTTTGCTATGCTTTTCCTACCACTAACTCTCACTGAGTGTAGTAGTTGCGGTGCTGATTCCAGGTGTCTGTTTTGTTTGGTTCCTTACTGGATGGATTGGGATGGTTGTGTGGAATTACTGCAATAGATTCATCCTATTTGCTGATATTCTAGCATCCTTGTATGTCAACTTTCTCACGCCTTGAGGCTTAATATATAAGCCATTAGGGGGTATCAAATATAACCAAATCCACCATTATTTGGTTGATGGTTTTTGGAATTGCAACCATATTATATAATTTATGGGTTTTGGAAAATCCACCATCTTCAAACCATTTTGGTTCTTCATCTTCCTCCTTTGGGGACCCATTGGTGAAACAAAACATTTTTGGATAATCAGATGGTTTATAATGGTTGATTTCTTATATTTGATACCCCCTATTCATTTAGTCACTGTGGAAGGGGTTGTATTGGTTACAACCCCCGCAATAAGGTTGCCCAGAGGTGACCAATATAAGATTGGTCTCATTGACCAATTTCTTATTGGTTGGGCTCACCAATACATTAGAACAAAAGAAAAATGTATTGGTGGGCCTGGACAATATAAAATTGGTCAAGGAGACCAATCTTATATCAGTCGCCTCTGGGTGACCCTATTGCGGGGGGGTTGTAACCAATACAGCCCCTATCCCTTTAGTTATTTATGATTGAGTTTGAATTTGGGTCTTTTATGGATTTAAAGATGTGTGTATAAGATGTGTAGCCAATTTCAGGACTTGAAACATTTCCATCTTTTATTGTATGTGAGAAGTCCAATCAAGATTTCTGGTTCGAAGTTGAAGAAGAGAAGGGTGGTCTTGATGTCTTACTATCTTTGGAAAATTTGACCCAGGCTCACTGGGCAAGGTTGAGTCTCTGCTCTCAAAAAGAACTGGGCAAGGAGGATTCCATCTTATCTTTTCAAGGGCTCATCTCAGATGCAACACTTGCCCACATAACCATCCTGTGATATTTGTGTAACTCTCCAATGCCATGAATATCTAGCGTGAAGAAATTAAAAGATGGAGTTGCAGCTCTTTTTAGCAGATTTTTGGCCTTTTTTGCCACTAAAAGCGCTGTAGCATAGCACTGGTAGTGGTGCACTAACACTACAAAAAAATGATGCTGTTAGCGCCGCTACAAAGTAGTGTAGCTTAGTGGCAGTAGCGGTGCGCTAACACTACACAAAAAAGTGCCACTATGCTAACGCCAAGTGGCCATGTAGCATAGTGTAGTGTAGCAGGCTGCAGCCCACCACTGCTTCCACAAATGATCTGTGAGATTTCAGTTTTTTTTTGTCTGCTCAAATAGATATCTGCAGTTCACACAGGGATTTTGAACATTGAGCCTTGCAATGCAGTTCTGCCAGATAAATCAGGTCAAAAATGTGTGCATACAAGCTTATAAAAAATAGCTTTGTTTTGGGTGGGGGAGGGGTGCTTTAGTAAGGATTATACTGAGGCCAACCTGGGACATTTTTTTCCTGCTGGTTGATGTCCATATGTAGATCAATCCAAGGTGAATTCCAGCAGCAATGGAAAAGATGCATGAGGGTACAATTTCAAGTTTTTGGTTGAACCTGCATCACATTTTTACAATCGAAATTTTTGGTCTTGGGACAGCAGTCTCTGATCATCAGAGTCTTTGGAAAATTAAAAAGTCACCGACTTTCAAAAGCGTGGCGGCGTCCAGACGTTGTCTGTGAAACCCGCATAAGAAGGCAATCTTTGTTTTTATTCCTCTAACGATCGGTCGGATCATGCTCGGTCGGTCGCTTGGCCGGTCGGTCTTGCAGGTTTATAATACCTGATCAGACATAACTGAGACCGAAGCAAAAAAAAAAAAGTCTTGGCTGTTGCATGTACACTGGATCCCAAACGAAGAGCTGCGAACAGCGTGCAGTCTGATTTGATAAGGGTGCCCGACAAAAAGTGGACCCGGCCGTGGTCGGGCCCTTCCTCTTACACATGATCAAAATGGGGCTGGTGATCTCTTCTAGGTCTTGGATGGACTCATGGACAGTTTGATGTGTTATTTTCTTTTCCTTCTCTTTGTGGATGATGTCCTGGTGTTCATGATGGTCGACAGCTGTTTGCTGTGAAGGAATCCAGACAAGGAAACAATCATTAATCTTACCTGTGACGAGATTTGTAATAACAAACCCCCTTACAGCTAGCTATCTATCTATGTACCTAACATTGTTGCGTGCATTTAAAGCCACCGAATTTGTTGGATCAAGAGCTTCGCCCTTTCCAGCAATGTATGACCCTCAACGTCGTCATAGGAAGTCAAGTATTTCTAGTAATCCGCACATGCACACACACGTCTTTTGTGAACCATTGCCGATCTATCTGTTACATCAATATCAAGGATGATTGCGTATTTATGTATACTTGAACCCGAATTAGCAAAAATATGTAGGTGATAGGTCCACTTTTTTGAAAGCAAGAAGCCTGCAGAAGATGAGCACATATTTATATGCAGTAGCCGTGATGATCAGTTTTTTTTCTTCTTATGGAGTTTGTAAATGAACAGTGTTGTACACCCAACAAACTGGTTACAGATTATTATCCAATCCCTTGGCGAAGATAGTTGATCACTAGGAGAAGAGGGGATGACTTGGTTACAACAACAGCAACTGATGTCGAGGTTGAGTTTAAATCGCAGTTTACGTAATCTGATGGCATGGGCTTATGGGTTTTTTTTTTTTTTTTTTTGGTTTTTGTTGTTAAGGTGAATTGGGAGTGAATATGGACTTAGTCAGTCCACCTTAACTCTTTTCCTCGCCTCCAGTGCTCACCAACTACTAATATCCCTCATCCCCATCCATCCATCTCTCTCTCTTTTCTTACCAACCTGACTTGAGCTCATCAACTATCCTCAAGAAGAAGAAGAACAAGAACACACAAGCCAACCAACTCACTTCCGACTACCACCCGACCTAATTCACCATCTCTCTTATCCTATCCCATCTAATACATATAACGCATTCCTCCTGACGAAAAAAACAAACGACTTCCCACTCGACTCTTTTTCTTCTTTTTTTTTTTTCCCGAAGGCCAACCAACAGAGTCAAGAGAGATGTCTTTGAAGGCCGAAATCGAAACTTGGGCAACCGCTCTAGAACTATACGATCAACAGAACTTCGACGATGCCCTAGCGGCATTCGAGGTCAATCATCTCTTTCCTCTTTTTTTTTTTTCCTTTAATCAAATCATCATTCCCTTCAAAATCACATTGAAAAAAAAAACTGACGATTTGACGATGGTACAAAACTCACAGGATATAGCAGATTCATCCAAGATCCTCTTCAACATTGGTCTGATTTATGCCACCCTAGGAGAACACGAGGTCGCCATAGAGAACTTCAGAACCGCAACCAGTCTCGACCAATATCTAGCAGTAGCCTACTTCCAATGTGGGGTCAGTAACTTCCTACTAGGCATGTACGAGGAAGCCGTCAAAGACTTCGAAGATGCTCTCATGGTTGGTTACCTTCCATTTCCTCTCTTCCTCTTTGTAGCTAGAACTAATCTGATTCCAATTCAATTTCAGTATCTGAGGGGCAATCTCACAATAGACTATTCTCAACTCGGATTGAAATTCAGACTCTATTCATGCGAGATTTTATTTAATAAAGGACTGAGTCTGATCTATCAGGTGAGTCAAACTTGCTCAAGTTAGACGAGATGAAAAACTGATTCATTAAGCGTGAATGTTTCCAAAAAAAAAAAAAAGGGAGCGGAAGCGGAAGGAATGATAGATTTACAAGAAGCAAGAAAGGAGAAGCAGACGGCGGAGCATTCGGTAATAGATGATGCGATAGCAGATCGAGCCGAAGGCTACACAGTATTTTCGATTCCAGTGGGCGTATTGTACCGCCCAGCGATGAGCAAAGTGAAGAATCTAGCGTCGAAGAACTATCTAGGACAAGCGAAATTAGTAGCGGCGACGGATGCATCGGAGACCTTTGTGGGCTTCACAGGTTCAGCAAGGGCGGCCGCGAAGACGACAACGACGGGGCCAGTGATGTCTACGCCGATAGAACAGGCTCCAATGCCGCCTGCCCCTGGGATGCTTCGAAGGGGCACCGTGGCCACGGCGGGCTCAGGGATGGGAGATGGTCCTTTGGGTCCCGCTGGGATGCTCAGACGAGGCACATCAGCAGCTATCACGCCGATGATGCCCTCCTCCTCTTCAGGAGACAGTCCGACGGTTGGAATCATCCGTCGAGGTACCACCGCGGCCCGGATCGAGAGCACTGCCGCTCGTCCGGCCCCAGTCCCGACCAACAACGACCTTCGTCGTCGCCCCAGTGAAGCCGGCTCGACCGCACGTCTTAATCGCAGTGCCACAGCCAGCTCGGGCTCCAAGCCGACCAGCCGATTAGCGCCGATGGCCGAGCAACGCGAGCCCGAGAAGTCGCCCCGATATGGATCCCGAACTCGCGGTTCTCTCGGCACGGAATCGTACGAAGATTACGAAGACAACGAGCCAGCCGTTCCGTCGCGTTCGGGAGGACCTTCCGAAGATCGGACGACTAATTGGGCCCGCAATCTCAGCACCTCGGGATCCAGTAGCGGCCGCAATCGTGATCCCCCCGCCGTCAGAAGACCCCCGCCCGCTAATAGTCCCTACGATGATCCCCCTAGTGATGCGGAATATCCCGAAACCGTCATGAGCGGTGGGTACGCTGAAATGACTAAGATCAGAGTCAAATTACATTATGGATCTGATACACGAGGAATGGTAAGTACACTCAAACAACAACAGCCACCAATAAAAAAACTGCTGACTCTTGTATGATCTGAAACCGAACACCAAAACAAAACAGCTGTCTCACGCGATGATTCGAGGATTTCTTGGGAAAAGTGACCAAGAAGTTTTCCTTAAGAGCCGGTCGAGTGGCGATGAAATACAAGGACGAGAGGGCTCGATGGTCTCGATCATGGACGACGACGATTGGGAGTCCGCCGTCGAGACCGCTAGGTCCTATGCTAAAGGTCGCGCCGAAGGAAAGGTCGAGATTTGGGTCGAAGATGCTGGCTTTCTTTGATCTCTTCTCTCTTTATATTCTCCTTTAATTCTTATAATTATAGATCGTTGCTTCCTTTTGTACTCTCTTTCTCTTTCTCTCTCTCTCCCCCTCTCTCTTTCTCTGCTCATTTCCCCTGTTTGTGTACTACCACTAACCTGCATCTATACTTACTCTTTTTTTGTTTGATGTCCATTTGATTTCAGTTCTATATACATATATATATATATATATCCCTCATTTGATGATTTCTGAGATGTATGACTCTTCTTATCCTATCCATCTTCCTCTCTAATCTTTCTCGTTTCTTTTGTATGATTTCATCGGATTGTATCCCTTCCTCTCAATCTTCAGTTCTGATTCCTCAATCCAAATCCACATTATTTATTTTTTTCAAACAAAAACAAAAATGGGTGGGATTTGGAGAGGAGTTGTTTATTGGGACTGGTATCTCTTGACACACATGTATGTGGATCCTTCAGCTCTTCGGGTTTTTCAATCCCCCCCACCCCCGCTTGTTTTCTTTTCCCCTTTCTTTTTTATATGATGATAGACACTTGTGATTGGACAATATCTCTAACAAGACTGTGCGTGAAAAGAGATGATTGCATATCCCGTGCATAACAATCACAGATATGTAACCTAATTACAGAGAGCCTAATTATCATGCAACCTGACTGCATGCTCATGTTTGAAACTCTTGGGGTATGCAGACTAACACCTTTAATATTATTTGGACCAAAGTTTGATGTGTTGTAATATTTGTTTATGAGGCCACCAGTTGTCAATCACATCATCACAGTGGTCAACCCCCTCACCCCAGACTACTTTCTCCAACAGGTATTGGTTGGCAAGACAGCTTGGAGCCTGATAGCCAAAGACATGGGATGTCAGATTGCCGATCCACTGGTGCAACACAATTTAGAGGACAGCCGCAGTTTTGGAGCAATCATGTTTCCAGATGTAGACTCAAGGTGTGGGGGCCACCCAGAGTTAAATCACAGTATGCCCCCCCCCCTCTTCCCAGAGGGCCAGAGCAGCAGCCTCTGCCGTCCTCCTCTTCTCCTTCCCTGTGGCCTTTCCTGGCTTGTTTGTATTGGGAGGTGGGATCATTGCTTCCGGTTCTTGAGATTCATCTTCCATTGCCTCGAAATCAAAGTCTGCTCCTCCTTGATTGAGAAAGTTGTGTAGCAGGACCCAAGTCTGGGGGGAGAAGGCCTTTTATATCAGCCTCAACCCACTGGAATTCCCTCATTGCATTAGACTTACCATGATCCAAGCATTTGCACAGATTCAGTCCCTCTTACCCAAAACTCCAAGCGCATTCCCTTCAGGCTCTGAAAGCGGTTCTTCAAGATGAAGAGACCAATGCAATTTTTGATTGTAACTTGTATCCCCACCAGATGTCAGTTGAAGCTGTGTCCTTCCTCAGTGAGAACTTGGTTTTTAGATTTCTTGAACCCCCGAACCACTGTGGTTGTGGGGGTGAAGGCAGAGTCAGCCAACAGATGTTGCCCCTCCAGGAAGTAATCCTTTGGGGAACTACTTGGGCAGCAATTTGTCATGAGACATTGGTCATGCAAACATCCAGGCCATCCTGTTGAAAAAAAAAAGTGATATTTTTTGCTTGGTCACATATTAACAAGGTTACAATGCCATAATGCCCCTTCCAGTTTTAGTAGTCAGGACCGTCAAGTTGAGGACACGTGGATAGGACCGCTAGAGTCCTGTCGACCAGGCCAACACAATTTTTGAACCCCACATTGCCAAACCAGCTTTGTATTTCATCTCGAGCTTCAGCAGTCGGCCACTCGAGTAGCTGGGGCCTCAAAGTCAGGATAGCCATCATACATTGGTCAGTATAGAGTTCAACTGTCCCTTCCCCAATGCGGAAGAAAGTTGCCAGCGCCCTGACTGATACACCGCTCCTGTCACATCCTAGTCTTTTGAGGGTGACCATCAGTTGTTCATGGACTGGGCTCTGAGGGTGGTTGGAATCATTGTAGAATACGGGGTTCCCAGAGATCTCTTTGGTCAGCTTGAAAAAGGATGAACATGTCATTCTGAAATGGAGCTTTAATTGTTTTTCATCTAGGCAATTCAATAGGAAATCACCAGAGTCTGGTGCCCTTTCAACCAGCTCTCAAGGTTGCATATACCAATAGGGGGTATCAAATATAGGAAATCCACCATTAGAAACCAGTCACTTTTCCCAAAAAATATTTTTGCATCAATGGGCCCCAAAAGGGGTTAAATGAAGAAACAACATGTTAAAAAAAGGGTGGATATTTTCAAACCAGTCAATTAAATAATGTTGGATTTGTTTATATTTGATACCCCCTAATGAGATTGAATGGCTAGGAGCGCTTGTACTTTCAGTTCAAGGGAGTGCATCAACACATCAGATTCATGATTCATCTTGCTTCTCCTGCTGTAATTCTGAGTCCCAGCCATCCTCCAATGAGGTGTCTTCAAGGAGCATGTCAACGGCCATGACTGCCAAATCCTGCTTGATGGAAGACACAAGGGTGGTGATCACTAGCTGACTCTCTGAGGTGCGGACCATGGGGGGTATCTCATTTGAAAAAGCATGAATTTATCCAAGAAGATATATACCATTGACCAATAACAAGACAATGGCTTATTTTTATCTTTTTGAGGTAGATGATGATTTTTGTTCCTTGCAGCAGCCAATCTTGTCATTCACTGCACCTTTGGAAAAAAATTTGGTTCTGGATCAAGGCTGGTTTTGAGCCATGGTGAGGCACCAAGGGCACCAACCACTTGACACCAATTTGGTGGAACCCTTGTAGGATACAGGATTCTGTGGCACAACCCGCTCCAACTTGGAAGACTCATTTATCCAAGGAAATGCCAATGATAAATTTCATTTCTCTGTCACAGCAGTTTATGACATGGTATCAAACAGCAAGGTATCTAACTACTAAACTCTCTACTAGAGATGGTCGGTCCGCATCCAGATATCCTTTTGGATGCGGATATCCGATGGCGATTTCAGCGAAATTGCACATCCGCATCCGCAACCGCACCCGCTAGCGGGTATCCGTCAGCCGCAGCGGGTATCCTCGGATACCCGCCCTCTAAAGGGACGGCGACGGACCGGCTGGAAGGGCTTCCTTCCGGTCGACGAGGTACAAGTACCTTGCCGGCTGGAAGGGCTTCCTTCCAGCCGGCCATCTCCCCTTCCGGCCGCGGGTATCCTTTGGGATACTGTCAGCCTCTGGGTAACTAACCTGAGTATTTAATAGTCAAAAGGTTGTTACTATGAGTTGACTGAAGTTTTGAGCGTGGTGAGTGTTAGGTAGTGGGTGATTAATACCAGTCCTGTAAAGAGGAGGTTTCACTCTATCAGTATGGTCTTTACTGAGAGGCTTGCTATCAACAGCGCATCCGGATCAATACAAGGTATTAATAGGCATCCAGGGTACTAAGACTCACCTGGGATTGATTTGGTTATTCCCCAAAAGGGAATGGGCTAACAATACTTATTAAGATTTAACAAAATTAGTTGAAGATTAACAGGTATTGTTAATGGGAATATTCAGCAAGGCTATGAATACTGTGGATAAGTTGAGTAAGTGTACTGAAGCTTAAGAACAATAAATGTAGACAAGATTTATGTTGGTTACGGGTACTGTGTCAATATAAATGTTAACTGGTTTAACTGGTGTCTGAATATTCTGGGGATTAATCAGTGAAAAGAGGCACGGATTATAAGTTCCAGAATATTGAAGGAGGGAAAGAATGAGCGCTCAGAATCAAGGGAGCTTTGGCCAGGAGAATGAGCACATCAATTGAGTGACTGATCATTATTTGTCATGATCTGTAAGTGACATCATAATTGTGTACTAGTTGATCAATGTACTAGTTGCTCTTGATGTGTACTTAACAGATCCTTTAATAATGCAGTCATAATAGTGATCAGTGCATGTATTGAATGTATTAATTCTATTGACACTTAATACTTACTATTTAATACATGTACATAATTATTTGTAATAATATTTGACCGTGAAAATACTGTAGACCAGGGATAACTTGTGGTACAGGTATTTCACGGACACAGGAGTGAAAGGTAAGTGATAATTACTTATGTATAACACAGGTATGTATTTAATAGATAAGTAATTAACAGATAAGATAACTGTAAGATAAATAAGATAAGTTAATAATAATGATAGGATAACAAGAGGTAAAGGTAATCAACATTATGGATAAGTACTTATGTACATAAGTACAGGTGTTGCAGTTACTTGGTACATGAAAGGTACTGTGACATGTACTCTGTGGCTGAAAGATAAGTCCGCAAGGCCTGAATTGACAGTGAGGGTGAGTTTGTGGCAAATGCACAGGATTTGCATTGTGGCAGGGTCCCACTCTGAGGAGTTGGAGGACGTAGTGATCCGATTTTTGTTGAAAAATGTATACATCTCAGAAGCCATGGTGTTGTTGTTTGAGCCGGAATCAGTTGTCTGGGCAAGCATGTAAAACCAGAAATTAACAGTTAGCATTGGAGAAAAAATCAGAGGAAGATTCATTAACATATCTTTTTTTAAAGATCATTTTTCTTCAGGATTGCAGCAATCTGTCGTGCCAAGAGGTGACTGGCATGCTTCCATGGGATCATCTTAAGTCCCAAATGTTTCACTCACTACATATTCCCAGTCGCTGTTGACATATGCTACCGCAGCACCAATAAATGCAAATCAATTCCCTTTGGTGTTCCAAACATCATGGATCAGGGTGAACTTTGTATCAAGACTCTGTTTGTCAGCCTGCTACTAATCAGAGCCAGCCTGAACATAGCATTTACTTATAAATTAGAGATATTATTACTTACATATGTACAGTGGGTGGACCATTATTTTTGGCTGCTTGTTTTGGATTCCAGAGCTTCAAAGCACAAACTTGAATTCACAAGAATTGGGGAAGTGGTGCAGAATAGGTCCCAAAGAATGAATATGAAAAAATAAAGACAAAAAACAAAGTTTCAAAATCTGTGAAAAATAAAAAATGAAAATGTTTTTTTCCAAAAGCTTTGATATTCATTTTGGGGGAGTGGGAGTGCTGGAAGAAAGAAAGAATGGAAAATGAGAAGAATGATTATAAATGAAAATTCTAAAAAAGTGGTTACCAGTTGGTTTTAAACAGCTGTTGAGTAGGGCATTCACCAGCTCACATTGTAGTAAAGCACCAGAATTTACTGTTTTGGATCCAATCTGGACAGCCAACCTGGCTCACCCTTTTTTGGTTCCAATTTTTTTCAGTTATAATCATTCTTGCCATGTTCCACTCTCTCTTTCTCTCAGCACTCCCACTCCCCCAAAGTCAATAACAAAGCTTTTGGAAAAAAACATTTTCATTTTTTATTTTTCACAAATTTTGAAACTTTGTTTTTTGTTTTTATTTTTTCATATTCATTCTTTGGGACCTATTCTGCACCACTTCACCAATTCTTGTGGATTCAATTTTGTGCTTTGAAGCTCTGGAATCCAAAACAAGCAGCCAAAAATAACGGTCCACCCACTGTACATACAATTAAAATAATAAAATATACTATTTAAATAAGTGGAAACACTATAATAGAGACATTATTACACAGTACACTTATATTGTAATATTTCATGAGAAAAACATTTAAATAATTAAATAGATAATGAAAAATAACATTTTTAACCAGAATCTCCTAATAAATTCTGAACCTTAAGTATAACTCAGATGATTATTGCATATTCTGAATCTACATGCAAAATAACCCAGGGTAGCTCACCAAGTGTACCCCTGAATTATTACTCCTTCACTTACTTTGTAACCCTTGAGTGATAGTGGACCAAAATACACTATAGACCCCTCCAGTTACATCATACTACATGTTGTAAGGGGGCTACATGTGTAATTAAGGTTCAAGCAGTGCGGGAAAAAACTACAAACAAGGTTTGCATCAATGAAACCTTAACTACATGAGCACAGACTACAGTATTAAATTGTTTGGGATGATCTGTGGCCCTTTTTGGCCCAATTGGGACATTTACTCTCTTGAGGATAAACCCATGCATCATGCAGTGCTGACATAGGCTACAGGAGTGTTACAGTTTCGTCAGAACACCCTGTAAACATGGTTACAAGCCTTACATCATCTCCTTGACACCTGTAACCAAGCTCTACAGGTGCTACAGATGATCAAAAGCTCCCATAGGCTTAGTACAAGAGTTGTAGCAACTAGAGAGACTCCTGAGTTCTCCTCCAGAGGCCCATAATGTTGGATTGCTTATAGGCTAGTATGCTTCTATCAAATCTCATGTTGTATATAGTCTATGCCGACCCTGATACAACACTCTCTCTTCATTGAATTCAAACCACATCTTTGCTCTTGTTCAGTCACTGTCACAAGATCTAGCATATGTGACTTTTAGTTCCTTCACCTGGTCCACCTAAGCACAGAATGGGTATTTAAGAGCCCCTTCTTCCCCCTGAACTTTGATTCCCCATCTTCATCATTACTTACCAGCATAAACCGTCACCAACAACCAGTTTCAACCTGCCTTTTGGCTCTGTTTGTGCTGTTTGCAATCTGAATTTCAACCTTCCAACTCAACACCTGTTCCCCAGCACTCTCTCAACATCTCTCACCCACCTTTCTGAGCGCCTCAAGAACAGTTCCCCCCTCCTGAAGACCTCCTTGGCTTAGAGATAAGTACTAGTAAGTATTATTTCTTTTTTTCTTCAGTTGTAGGCTATTTCTGGGCATACTCCTTTATTACAAAGGACCAGAGCATCAGTACCACCCCTGTAACCCAGGATCTGATATTAGAGGGCACCATAAAAGCCCCTGTAACTCAGGCCCCTCTGTAAATAAAAACTATTAAGTTTTTATTTACTATTTTCTTTTATTACACAAACCTCCCCACTTTTCACGTGTCACCAACACATGTACTTATCCTATTATACCTTTGCACCTAGTGTAGCTAGAAGAGTTTTGGATGTTGGCATCACTGAGGCTGACACTGTTATTAAATGAATCATATCAGTAGTTAATTTCAAATATTTATAGCAATATAATTAAGACTGGCATGTAATTTTTCAAAGACATTATCTTTCAGAACCCAATACAGCTTCTTGGATTCATTGGCAGACCATTGCCTTCCAAAAAGCAGCGCTTTAGGATTGGAATATAGAAAAGCAGCACAAAGGAGAGTATCTTCAATGCAAGTCCACAGTAGCGCCTGCCGTATCTGCCACATCATCACTATCTGATTGAAGACTCAGTTGACAAACGCGGACTTGAAAGGAAGAACCGTCTGGTTTGCATCTCCTCCTTCATTAGCAAACATCTCTAAAGCCCTTAGCTCTGCAACAGAGGCCGGTAAGCGGAAACCAGCCTGCTTAGAGCGTTCACTTTGGGGAAGCCGTTTGGATTTTTTGATGCCTGAGTTGATCCATCACGATGAAATTTAAGGTTTCCATTAGACAATGTCTGTCCGCGGTAGGTGTTATGAAACCATTGGGGCTTGATAACAACATGCCCTCCCCCCCTTGCACACGCACACCCACACACCAATTTCTTTGGTGTGTGGGTGCACACGCCTTGCGGATCATGGTGTGTCCCTGCACCCGCCAGGGATCCACAGGGTCCAAACCCTGTTGGTTGGCGTGTGCAGGAACACGCCAGTCCAGCTCATCGGGAGGAAACCCTCTCAATGAGCTGCTATGACTTTATAGTCTTTGGGCTGGGAGGAACACCCTCCCAGCCTTGTTTTTTTTTCCTTTTTTCTGGATTCTCCGCTGCCTTCCCATAGGACCCATGCCTGGGTCCTATGGGACGGCGGCGCTCCTAAACACATATGTATACATATGCGTTTAGGAATATGTGGCGTGTAGGCCTGCACGCCGGTCTACACTCTGTAGATTGGCGTTCTGGCCCGCACGCCAATTTGCTTTGGCGTGTGTTTATCAACACCCAAAACCATTTGCACTTGAAGTGGAGTTTGGTACCAAGAGGGTCAACCTTCTTCCACACTGGCTTGTCAAAGTAGTCCAGACAATGATCAAACTCATCCTCCTTAGACCCACCTTTTTGTCACTGTCCTTGTCAGCCTATGTGATGCCAAGACACAAGTCTTCTAGCTACACAAGGTGCAAAACTAAGAGTTTTTATGGTAAAAACTCTGGGATAAAGAATGGAACAAGTAATTCAAAAGAATTACGTAGAATTTATGGGTTAAATCAAAAAATGTGGCCAATTTATATTAATAAAATTAATATAAATAAAACCAGAGGGGCCTGATAAATCAGGGGTGGTTTAATCCCTCTAAGGTATTGTGCAAAAAGCGGAGGATTTAGGTACCTGATACACTGGGGCCTGTAGCAGGTGTGGTTTAAATCCCAGGAGATAATTTTGAGGGGAAAATCTTCAAGAAAGGGTTATTACTTACTTGTAATAATCCTAAGGGGTCTTGAGGATCTTCAGTGAAGAAACTGGACAGTTGGGAGCGCTCAGAATTGTTGATTTTGGGTTCTGGGTGATAACTGGGGAGTTTCTTGAGGAATCTTGAGGCTTTAATAACAGCAAAAATAGTAATAACTAGGCTAATTACAAGTGTAGGGGACTTGTAAATGGTAAGTAAATTTCTATAAGGTATTCTAAAGCTGGGGGATCATTATTTGGGCGGTCAGAAGGCCCTTTAAATACCTGTGGAAGGCCTCAGGGGTTGCTCAGGGGAGCTTAGTAGGTCTTGAGCGCGCTTTTTGGGCCATTTTAGCCCAGGGCTGAAACCTTGGGGATAAAATTCTAGAAGCTCCAAGGGGCCAAGCACGAGTTTATTTGAACCAAGAATATTCCTTGGGAGCCTGTGGGTAAGGGGTAGTCCGTTACGTGGAGCCATCACCTTGGAAATGGGCCACAGAAGGTGCCAGAACTGGTTTCTGGGGCTTGTTGCGTGTGTCAACCTTGGAATATAGAGTTTACAGAGTTACTGTAATATATTCATAATTATTCTATTGTGTTTGTAATTTTATTACACGTGTGGGGGCTTTTATTGGCACGTGCACGGTGGTTTTCTGGGGCTTTGTGGCCCATTTCCTTGGATACTGGTAACCCAGAGGGGGTTATGCATGTATCCAGGGCAGGTATGCATACCTAGCACACGCGGGGGCTTGAGCCTTGGGCTCAATTGTAGTCAGGCGCGCCTGCCAACTGTGCGCAGCATGACTACGTGGCATGCGGGCTTGGAGACAGTACACGCCACACTACACTATCTTCTAAAATTTACACAACACTCCAAATCCGTGACAAGATTTTGGAGCATATGCGTTTGGTTATGTATAATGCATAAGTATCCAGGGCCCGTGATCTAAAGGTACTGGTTAATTATTCAAGGTTGTATTAAAGGGTGAAGGAGTGAGAATTGGGGGTACCTTTGGCTGAGGTAACCTAGGTTAAATTGTATGAAGATTTAGAATCTGCAATAATAATTCAAGTTTTCTTTATACTTTCTAAGTTATTTGTATGTTTTTAAGTGTTTTTATATTATTTACATAAGTAAAGTAGTTTCTTTTACTTATGTAATATTTTTACTTTATACTTAGATTTTTTATGTAATTTTATTATTTTATTTTGCTATGACAGGTTGTCTCTCCCGTAGTAGCAAGCTGACAGTCCTGGTCATAGTCGTAGGGCTTGCCATTAGAATCCACCTACATATAGCCCAAAGAAAAATGAATCATAGATTGTAGGATACCAAAAAAAGCCTGAATAGAACTCTGGACGTACCTGTACCGTTTCATTAGAAGACTTTGCTGCCTTGCGCTTCTTAGTCTGGCTGCTTGTTTTGGCTGTGTTGGCAAGGTTAGATGCAGGCTGATGCTTACGCTGTTGCTTCTTCTTTGGCTTTGGCTTGGCTTTTGAGGATCCGAAGGGGTGGATAGAGCCATGGTCCGATGATGGGTCCGCTAAGCGCTTTTGACCTTCTGGAAGGTTCATTCTCACTCGGGAGTCAGATGAAATTGTCACCATATTTGTTGAGTGGCAAGGCTGGTTTTGTGACTGATTGGTTGTATAGCCCATATTAGGATCAGGGTTTGGGTGTTCTGTGAAAGATTTTGGAAACTAAAGGTTTTATTTCTTTATTAATTCATCTTTTCTTATAATATGAAATACAATAAATTATAATAAATAAGAAACAACTTTTTACCTAAAGGCAGAATATAATCTGAACTAGGTAAGATAAAGAAATAACAATAATGATAATGATTTGAAAGTAAAGTGCTATGATCGGAAAAGTATGAATTAACAATCTAGATTAAAAGAAAACATGTTCATTAGTTTGTTGTTCTATCTTTTCTCTAGAAATATAAATGATTTGATAAAGAAAATGAGTGTACTCGCTCTTGAGACTAATTTATTTCTTTATTGATTGTTATTTAGTTTGTTTGGTTGACGATGCTATTTTATAACATTTCTTAGTCAGTTATATTATTCTCTTTCTTTAAAATAAAGAAAGGCTATAGTACTTACTGACAGACAATGAGTATAATCGATGTATTTTGGTTGTTTGAAATAATAATGATTGTTAAAGCAAATGGAGTGATTGTTAATGATTACTCTATCTGCTTGATTGTTAATCATTGAGACTCACCTAGAGCTTGATGATTGAAAATCATCATTATTTAGAATCATGACGTCATTGATGTCATTCTCTCTTTCACAAGCTTGTTGCTTGGCTATTCTATTACATATATTATGTTCTTTACATGATTGAATAAACATGATCAGTTTAAGGTTTTGATTCTCTAGGTAGCTTCACAATCTAAGTGTGGGGCTTACCTGCTACTCTCCTCTTTTGAGGGCTATGTTGAGAACTGGAATTCCAACAGTTGTCCGTGCTTCAAGTCATCAGATGCAAAGCAGAATCCGAATTCCCATAGATTCCCAATACTTTCAAGGGGCGTCGAATTGTACATTGACCAACGGATTTAGTGAGAAAATCAGCCTGAATATCATTTGACTTGATGTAAAGGAGAATTAACAATTTTGATTGAACGTTGTGGTAAGCCAATCTTGAATAAGAGGCCCACAAAATCAAAGCTTCAAGCACATAATCAAGCCCTCTGAATGACAAGACCCTCAAGGATCAAGACAAGCCCCTTCTGGATTATTCAACCAACCTGCAACACCATGGATGTCACAAGACCAAGCCCCCTGGACAGAAGACACTCTGGATTCTCATTTCATTTCTTTATTACATAATCATCTCATGCAGTCTTACATCATCAATCCCCTTTCAGCCTTCCACACTTGGCCTTTGCATGTGTTTCACTCTAATCCAATTTCACTCTAGTCTCATTTCCACTTTGGGCCACATTCTATGGTTTCACACTATTCCTCTTGGGTTATTTTCATGTCTCACACTAGTACACATTTGGCTAGTTCATTTACCTCTTTGGTATATTCTTCCTCCCTCATTGGTTGTGGCACATTTCATCCCTGCATGTTTCTGATGTCATTTCCTCCATTCATCTTAGTGTCTACCAATTGGGCCACATGGTTTCAGTTTGATAATTTTCTCTTGTTCCATTTTTTTCCATGGTGTTTCCAACCAAAAGCTGGCCACTCCCCAGATTTTGTATATAAGGAGCCTTGTTTTCCCCTCTTCATTTGTTCCTCATCAGATCCTGCCCCAGCAATCCAGATAACTGATCACCCTTCATTAGCCTAGTAGTTGCCCATCAACATTTGGGATACTAGTATTATTCAGACAGAAGACCAGAAGACAGAAGACATACCCATCTCAAGAATCCTCCAAAGCCACACCTTTCCTTAAGAGTCCACACTCTTATCTTTTTCTTGTTATCTTACTCAACCCAGTTTACCAGAGAGGCAGCCAATTAAAGCATCTTTCCCTCTCCAGCTCTATTCATCCCAAAGAGTAGTTCCACAAGTGGTGTCCCAACAGTGGCTTGAAGATCTTTTGGTTTCAGTCAATTGTCCATCACAGTCCCACCTCTACAAAATACCAGACTCAAGACCAGCAAGTTACTTTCAGCAAATTGAAGATCAAACCCACCTATCCCTCCACCCAGAAAGCCCCCCATCATTTCACTACACAACTCAGACCACCCCCAAGACATCCCTTCCCTACTATCAGCTTTTGAACCACATCTCATCAGTATACATTCCAACAGACACAACACATCACATACCTCCACCTCCCCACTTACCATGAATAACCAACATAGAAGAAACTCCTTTTCTGGACCTATGGTCAATATGGCCAATTTGGTCATCCCTCCCTGGAGAGGCCAAGTCCAACCAACTCAATTACCTCCTCTCCATTACTATAATTCTGGAACCACCTTTTATCAGCCACCTCCTGGAAACAACCCACCTTTTAATCCTGGACCTATGAGAAATAACCAACCACCATCAGAAAGTGAAGACTTGAACCCTTTGGACCCACAGGAGCCTTTATCCCCTCAGACCACTGGGAGCCAACAAGATGGATTTCAACCCAGAAGACCTACCTTGAGGACCCAACCCCACAGACAGCCCTCCCCATCCACTTTTTGGAGAACCAGAAATGCCTAAATATACTGGAGGAAGAAGAACTGTCAAAATTAAACCCCTGGACAAAGAACTCTGCTTTGATGGATCCAACATGCCCATAGAAAAATTCATCAAGAGGTATGAGGCTGCTGGAAAGACAGATGGGGCCAGTTCCCAGGACTTGGCCAACCAAATAATACCCTTCATAAAAGAAATGGACCTTAAGGATGAAGTTGAAGAAATGTCAGGCTATGAGGACTCTAACTGGGAAAGATTAAAAAGACAATTACTTAACAGATTTGGATCTTCTCTCCCATTGGTCAAATACACCAGGCATGACCTCAAACATCTGGTTGGTTCTGCAATCAAAGGAGGAGGAATCAAGACCTTGGAACATTTCAAAATTTTCAGGACCAAATTTGAAGCCATCACTCACTACTTGGTAAGAATGGGCTACAGTTCCAACTTGGAGGAATCCAGAGAGTGCCTTTTGGAATCCCTCAGCCCAGACTTGGAATCTTTAGTTACCAGAGAACTCATCAGAGACAACATGATGTTGGCCTCCAAGGTTGGTGGGGATATCTTGCCAGACACTGAAACCTTGATCAGTTACATCCACAGGGAAGTCCAATCAGCCTCAGTCATGGAAAGAAGAAAGGTCCTAAGAAACATGGAACCAGCCCCTTCAGTCAAACCCCAGGCCCCCAAAACTTCTGATCAAAAAGCTGTGGAAGACCTCACCAAAACTTTGGCCAGCTGGCATACCCAGAAATCCAACCCCCAGTCAAACCCCTTAATTTCCAAAAGTCATGTCCCTTACAAACCTGCCCAAATGGAGAAAGACTGGAGTACTGTCAAGTGCAATTATTGCCTTGGAGCAGGACACACCTTCCATAGGTTCAACCTGGCCAATTCTGATGAAATGAAAGGACTCTTCAAAAAGGATGGACCCAATGTAATCTTACCAGATGGAAATACAGTCCAGTGGGAAAGAAACAAAGCCTTCAAGACAGTTGTGGACCATTTTCATCTATCCCAAAAACAGCCAGGAATCCTGAACTTACCCCAAGGAGCCCTGAACAAGTCTGCAGAAATCTCAACTGAACCTCAGACCTCTTATGGTAAATTAGAGGAGATTGATGCTGAGGAAGAATCCAGTTATGACTGTGAAGCTGTAAAAAGAACCAGAAGTGGTAAAGAATATCCAGAAGAAAATTCAGCTAACAAAAAGATCAGACAAGAAAAAGAAGACTTAATGGATATAGACAGGGATAGACTCTTGGAAATTGCCAGACAGGATGACTACAACCCTGTAGACTTACCAGCTTCCTCTACTAAAGAATATATCCCACCCAACAAAAAGGTCCAATTCCAAAAACCTGCTGAAGCCCAACCTACCCCTCCCAAGGAAACTCCAAAAGAAAAAGCTCCCAAGAAAACCTATGTGGAAAGACCTCTTACTAATCAATTCCCAGATGCTGAAGACAAAGTAGTAAGCAGAATGCTCATGGATGGCAGAATGGAATTATCCTATGGTGAAATCTTTGCTATTTCCAATGGAGCTGTTGAAGCCTTCAAAAAGAAAATCAGCCCAAAAAGAATTCCCCTGGAACCCACTAAATCCACAAACTCTGGAGGCCTGGATCAAGAAACAGAAGAAGAGGACCAGCCTACTGAAGAATCCAGTCATTATGCCTGCCCTTTAGGTTATATTGATGTCAGCATTAATGGAAAACAATTTCAAGCACTCTTGGACAATGGATCCCAAGTCAACTTACTTCCCAGAGACCTAGCAGCAAGGATGGGCCTCATAATTACCCAAAGAGCCATGAATCTTAAAGGAATAGGTGGCCACAAGAATGAAATCTTGGGAGTAGCTGAAAATGTCCCAGTCAAGGTAGGACATATAACCAGAGGAATTCATTTCTATGTTTCTGCAGGGGAAGTTCAACCAATCCTGGGTAAGCCATGGCTCATAGATGTGTCAGCTACCATCAAATTCCTTCAATTTGGAGCAGAATCCCTCTCAATCCAGAAAGCAGGCAAGACTTACTTGGTCCCAATACATAATCCAACAAATCAGAAATGGGAAAGAGACTTTCCAGTCCACACTGTCACCACATCAAGTCATTTTTTAGCCTCTGGCACCTCCCACAAGTGAATACTTGGGAGGTGCCTAAAAATAAACAAGAAGGAGTTATGTTAGTATGTGCAGCAAAATATAAATCAACCACAAAAAAAAATCAAACCTGTAAATGAAGCCATGCCCCAACACCTCAATGCCCCGCTCTGCAAACCCCCTTTCTAAGAGAGCCCTTCCAGATTCCCTAACCGCCTTCCCCCCCAGAATTTACCTCTACCTGGAAAGTGACAGAAGAAAGACTAAAAGTTGTCAACTTTGGACCCCCTGATTGGCTTTGGCCAGAAGAACTCAAGCTCCTGAAACATGTAATCAAACTCAGACAAGGTGGCCTGGCCTTTTGTGAAGAGGAAAGAGGATTACTCAAACATTCCTATGGCCAACCCTACAAAATTCCAGTCATCAGACATGAACCTTGGCAACAAAGACCTATTCCCATCCCTGCAGCAATCAAAGACAAATTTATTGAATTAGTAAGGGAAAGGCTCAAAACTGGCCTCTATGAACAATCCTGTTCCAGTTATTCCAGCCCTGTTTTCTGTGTCAAAAAGCAAGATGGTAAGCTCAGAGTGGTCCATGACTTACAAAGGCTCAATAAAGTAACCATCAAAGATGCTGGAATTCCACCTAATCCTGAAGAACTCATTGAATCTTTCACTGGAAGGGCCTGCTATGGTCTGGGTGATATAATGGGAGGATATGATGAAAGAGAATTATCCCTGGAATCAAGACCCCTCACCACCTTTGAAACCCCCCTTGGCAGATTCCAACTTACCAGACTACCCCAAGGAGCCACCAATTCTGTGGCAGTATACCAAGCCCAAATGATGTGGATACTTCAGGACGAAATCCCAAATAATGTAGGAATTTTTATTGATGATGGTGGAATTAAAGGCCCCGTCTCAGACTACAATCAAGAAACCCTAGAAGCAAATCCTGGCATCAGAAGATTTATTTGGGAATATGCAGTCACCTTGGAAAGAATTTTATTCAGGATTGAAGAAGCTGGACTTACCATATCTGGAAAGAAATTTGCCTGCTGTGTACCTGCCCTGGATCTTGTGGGACATGTGGTATGCAAAGAAGGGAGAAAAATTGTCAAAAAACAACTCAACAAAGTAGAAAGCTGGCCATCTCCTGACAACCCCACTGATGTCAGAGGATTTCTTGGTGTCTGTGTATATGTCAGAATGTTCATCCCTGGACTTTCAGAATTGGCCTCACCCCTCAGAAGACTCACTTGGAAGGACTCAGAATGGAAATGGAACCAGTCCTGTCAAGATGCCTTTGAAAAATTAAAACAAATTGTGGGCTATGACATAACTCTAAAAAAATTGGACTATTCTGAAGAAGCAGGTGCAATCAAATTAGCTGTGGATTCAAGTCATATAGCAGCTGGAGCAGTACTCACACAAGAAGATGCTGGTTTGGACAGGCCTGTTCTTTATGAATCAGTTGTTTTCTCCCCTACAGAATCCAAATATTCCCAATCCAAGCTTGAACTCTGTGGAGTTACAAAGGTCCTCAAGAAACTGCAAACTCAACTCTGGGGTCAACACTTTGAACTATTAGTGGATGCCAAGAGCCTTATAGAAATGATCAACTCACCCAGCTTGCCCAATGCCCCCATGACCAGGTGGGTAGCTTTTATTCAACTATTTTCTTTCACCATGAAGCATGTCCCTGGAAAAACTTTCACCATGCCTGATGGATTATCAAGAAGGCCCCCTGACCCCGGAGAAATTGGTGAAGAATTTGATGAGGAAGAAAAATGGATCAAGCCTCACCCTGGTTTTGGTCTCAAGCAAACTAATATGGTGCACCTGGAAATTCAGCCCTCAAAGAGTCCACAACTTGGGATTTGGAAGGATCTTCAGTACTATTTGGAAACCCTCAACAGACCCCCTGACTGTTCTGCAAAAGATTGGGCCAATATCAAACACAAATCAGCCATGTTCTTTATGTCTGAAGGCCAGTTAAAAAGAAGAAATAAACCCTTTCCCCAGGTAGTTGTCACCAATCCAGAACTCCAGAAATCTGTCCTCAAAGCACTTCATGAAGAATTGGGCCACAGAGGAATGGATGAAACTTACAGAAGAACCAAACTCAGATTCTGGTGGCCAAATATGAAAAGATCAACCAAGAAATGGGTTCAATCTTGCATTCCCTGTCAGAAAAGAAGCTCCTCAAAACCCCTGGAAGAAAAAAGAGCCACAGGAAAATCCACAATCTTTGGAAGAGTCAGTCTGGACACCATCCATATCAAAGCTGGAAGGTGGAAATACTTGGTTGTTGCCAGAGATGACCTGTCTGGCTGGGTTGAAGCAGTTGGATTGGATCAAATCAAGGCCAAGAAAATTGCGGAATGGTTTCTGGAAAACTGGATCCACAGATACGGTGTCCCTCTCACAGTTGTAGTTGATGGAGGCTCAGAATTTGGACAAGAACTGCAAAATGCCCTCACTCAAGTTGGATCTACTGTCAAAGTCACCACTCCTTATTACCCTGAAGCAAATGGGATGGTGGAAAGGGGACATCAGCCAATCAAAGACACCTTGGTAAAATTATGTGAAACTGATGGCAAAAAATGGAGAAATTACCTACCACTGGTGTTATTTTCTGACAGAATTTCCACCAAAAGGACAACTGGATATTCCCCCTATGAGTTGCTTTTTGGCCAGCCTGCAATTTTACCTGTGGACTTGGAACTAGAAACCTACCTTGGAACCAACTGGGAGGAAATTTCCACCACGGAAGAATTACTTACTGCAAGAGTCCTCCAATTGGAAAGGAGAGAAGAAACCATTCAGGATGCCTACAAAAAAATGAAGGAAGCCAGAGCCCAATCCTTGGAACCCCAAAACCTGAAGAACTCTGTCAGAAAACCCCTCCTACCTGGTCAACTTGTCCTTGTCTACAACAAATCCTTGGATTCTCAATGGGGCAAGTTGTTTGAAAACAGGTGGAATGGCCCCTTCAGAATTACCACACAGGAGGAGGGAGGATCTTACAATCTAGAAGAATTGGATGGGACAACATTAAAAAGAAGATATGCAGCCTCACAGGTCAAACCTTTCTTTTCAAGGGAATGATTTTGGGGGTTTTCATTTCAACTTGACAAATTCTTTCTGGACAAATTCCTTTTGGGTATTTTCTTTCCTAACAAAAATTCTTTCTGGGCTCTGTCAAAACACTCTAAAGCAAAAAAAAAAAAAAAAAAAAAACAAAAAGAAAAGAAAAGAAAAGAAAAGAAAAGAGAAAAATAAAATAAATAAATAAAACAATAAGTCATATCAGTACTACTCGGGATTTTTTTTTTTTTGGGGATGCATTCAAAGTTATTTGTTTCTACTCACCTAATTGACAAGTTGCATGGTCACTTCATCCACATCGGCCAAGACCAGGTCCATCTCATCCATGACTTCGCGGTACAACCATTGACGCGCAGAACAGCAACGTTCCCCGGTGTAAGACTCAAAAGTGGTTGTGAGAACCCTTTTGCTGAATGGAGAAGGGTATGGTGGAGTTGCAAACTCTGCCCTTCTATACTATCAGATAACAAGACCCACCAAGCTTGGCTTGGCAAGTTTTAATCAAGTGATAGGGGTGGTTGGTTCGAGAATAAGTTGTTTGATCGCAATATAATTGTATGAGAGAAGAGGTTTTGAGAGTATGAGAGTGAGTTTAGTGTGTATTACAAGTGTAAGGGTTGTTATAGGGTGTTTGTAAGGGTTGTTACAGTATGTAATGTTAATGGTATGGTATGTAATGGTAGGGGGTATGTGATTTGTGGGTACTAAACTGAGGGGAAAAACAACTGGGAGGAGAGCCTCCTTAAATACACAAAGGTGAGGGATTTTGGCTCCAAGGGAGCAAGAGAATGAGAGATTTTAGCTGGCCAGAGCTTTACAATGAGGGGATTTAGCTAGTCAGGACATGTACATGAGGTATTTTGGCTGGTTGAGCAACCTACATGATGTCATAAGAGTCATTTTAGCTTGAACTAGAAGTCTACATGAGGGTTTTATGCTGGTGTAGCATGCTACATGAGGTGATGCACTAGTCTGCAAACTAAGATGGGGTGATGAAGATTACATGAGTGCTGTGAGATAGTGTGACAGCTGCAAGGAAGAATAACAAATGACATGACAGCCTGCATGATGTCACTTGTAAATCCAGAGTGGTACTACACTAACACTGCATGTGTCAATATGTCAGAAGATGGTGGAGTGGTGTGTATACTTATGTACTATGCTGGTGAGAGAGTGTAGTTGTCCTGCAATGTGCATATGTATAGTGTGTGATATGTAATTGTTGATGTGTTGGTGGTGATTGAGTGTTGACATGTTGTTGAGGTGTGTAAGTGAGTGGTGTGAGAGTCCAGAGGGTGTAACTTCCAATCCAGTTGAGTTCCAGTGACGCCTCCAGTGGTGACCAAGGGTGAAATTGAGTGTAGAATCCATTTCTTGAGCCATATTGAGTGATTTGTGAGTGTATGTAGAAGAAAAAAGAGGGATAGAAAAGAATAATAAAAAACTTTGAATTTTTACACATTCAGCTACCACACCGGTGCGCGCAGCGGTACAATACGGAAAAGAATCGAGGATATGGAAATAATCGTGAAATCTCTCCTTAATACGACGACGCGCAGTGCGCACAGTTCTTTCACGGACCACTTCGGCGAAGAAAGGTCCTCGGTCGGTAGCGTTTTCTTCGGCGTCTGACCCCGGCGGCGGCGTGTTGACGTAATAGGGCGAATCGGCGGTGCCGTTCCCTGGTAAGTCAGAGAAACTAACAACTGACGGCGAGCGGTAACCATTAGGCGCGGGAATAACAACCGAATAATCAACTGGCTCGGGTCCGGGAGACGTTAAAGCTTCCGTTGGACGGACAAATTGTTCGCTGGGTGTGGGTGACGCTATCAAGGTAGCATTAGATTGTAAATAGGTCTTGCGACAACGGTCGGAAGAGTCCGGCAGGGTTTGTAGACGAGAGTCTTCGTTGGAGTCGGAAGGGCCGAGCTCGTCTTCAGTAGCAATGGACCCTTCCTGATCACTTGACAACAACACCGGCGTGGCCGGCGCGGCATTGAACAGAGGAACAAACCCCAGATCCTTGTTAGTGCTTGTGTCGACGTCTAAGATAGCGCCGGCATGGGTTTGAAGATAAGCTGAAGGACGGAGCTCGACAAGAGGCGGCAATGTGAACCCATCATCTATACCCTCGGATACGGGACTAACAGCGGAAGAACTAGAGGATAGCGGGCTGTTGTTTGTTAACACGTCGGCTAAGGCGGTGGCAGCGTTGACTTCAGCGGAACTAAGGGACATGACTACGGAAGCTGACTGCTATAAACAGGGAACGAGGATGTCGACCCTGATTTTATACCCAAGTGACGACAACCACGCCTTGGCCGCTATTTTTTTCTTGCTCCCCTTCCAGCAGGTCTCAAACGTTTCTCGTCACTCTGTTTCCGCTTTCATACCTTTGTTTCTTTTGGGTACATATCTTTCCTCGTCTTTTGGGCACAATCTCCAGAAGCCGCACTCGTTTGAGATGAAACAAGAAGTTACGACTAGAGGATTGGGCGAGGACGACCTGCTCTTGTTGAGTTTCACACATGTCATGTATTTTTCTCTTCAGTCTGTGCTTTTCACCTTTCACTCACATGTCACTTGTCAGCCTCGAGCACATTGAGAAGTGATCTCAATGTGCCATTAGGCTATCACGATTAGAGAAAAGTCTTACCATAACAGAATAAATCTAATCCCATTTCGGAAAGCATTCCAAAAGCGGGTGCTAAGACCCATGTACAGATAGATACCATATAAAGAGAGGATAGTCCTAGGAAGGAGAGGGTTCTCTCTGAGATTTTACCAAACCCGCTCTATTACAATATACATTGTGATTGGGGTTATTAACCGACACCTTTCTCTTATTCCTTTACTATTCTTCTCCCTCTTCCCTACTTCACTTATATTCAATCCGATTATCAACAATCTTCCCCTTCTTAGCTTCCAGCAATCTCTGATAGTTAGTCCTAATACCAAAGGTTTCATTCAGTAGTGAGTCACATAAGAGACTACTCCTGACATTTGGGGGCCTCATCGGGAATTTTTATTCTAAACCCGATACCTTTTCTGCGTTCTGTTTTTTTTCTTTTCCTTTCTTTTACCAAGCTCTGGTCGGTTGACATTGCTTTACATTTTTCCTCAAGCTCTGGTCGGTTGACATTGCTTTACATTTTTCCAGGATCGTTTGATCTGGCCTACGAAGAGTAACGCTGTTATCTTCCTCTTATTTTCCAAGATCGTTGATCTGGTGTACAGCTTAAACTCCTTTAGTGTACCGCTTAAGAACCTTTATCCTTAACCGATACGACCAGTGAGCACTTGACTCAATTCAATCTTTTCTTGAATTCTATTGATTAGAATTCTTACATTCGAGCTTACCTGTGCTTCTTTTTACCTCATCCTCAGTGTCATCTAGACAAGCTTCTTTAAAGGAATTCTTCCAACCGGATCGTCCTATTACTATATTCTCCTCTTCGAGATCTGAACCTGGAGAAAGGATTGATCAGTCCACTGTACCGAACCAGAACACCCAAGTTAGAGAGTACAGTCCAGAAGTAGCGAGTTCAGCTTCCGAACATCACAATAGTGTAGAGACTCTCTTCCGAAACCTTTTTCAACCGAGAGGGCATACGGCTCCCCCCAGAGTCGACACTAACAGAATAGAAGCTGTACTATCACCTCGACAATCTCCAACTATCGATCCCGGCCTGAACAACAGCCCTAGAAGCCTTATAGATCCAGATTTAGGCTCTAGAGCTACGTCAGTAATCATAGAACAATACCTGACTGGGAATACAAGGTTTACTGAGGCTAGCAATACGAACAGAAGAACAGTCCCAGGAGAAGACAGTATACAAGCTAGTAACGAAGACGGAGCTTCGGATATTATCATTCTTACTGGTTAGTTAACTATATCTGTTCGAGATGCCAAATCCTATGAGCAAATCTAATCCTACCTCACGGGCTTCTTCCACTAGAGCCTCAAACCCAACCCTCGTCCCAGCAGGAGAGTTCAAACGCGGAAAGAGCAAGACTCCTACGCCGAAACTGGCCAGCGGAGATAACCCTTCTGTTCGAGATGCACGAAGCGGCCAAGAATCATTATCTCCACGCCGCGGCAGCGAGCAATCTGGTAGCGATGGAGACCCTGCGAAGGCAAGCCTTGGCGTCCCACCGAAGCTTGGAAGAATTGATAGGCAGAGATACTCTCCTATTTTTGATGGACGGCTGGAATCCGTTCTTAGTCAATCCAACAAGACCGGGTCGGCCCAGACAAGCGAACAGACCCCAGCCATACCACCGAGCAGCGGCAACAGCTCAACCAGCGAACGGTTTGAACGAGCAAGGTCCAGCCCAGAGAAATCAGGGCACTCATCCTCGGAGACAAGGAAGGATGGGGGGACGACCAAATCACCGCAGAGAAGTTTACTCGGAAATGATCCGAATGTACCGGACCTTGCAGGGAACTTATCAGCATCTGGACGAAGCCTCCAGAGCCAACAGAGGAAGGAACTAGGTCCTTTAACTCTTAGAGATGCGAAGAAGGTCTTCTCACTCCTTTTCAATCAGATAGAACATATTGTGGATGGCAACGGTGCTATTATCTTAGATACACTGAAACCTTTTGTTGCAGCTCGACTTTCTGCATTTGCTACATCCTTTCGACGCGATATTACTACTACTCTCTCTAACTCTATCCAGCTAGCAGTGGATAAAACAGACGATCATTTCAAGACGGTTAACTTTTCTATCACTAATATTGCTAATACTTGTAATTCACTATTGCTTCAGTCTCAAACTAACCACGACCACATCAGCGACCTAGTAAAATCAGTTCGTTTGCTCCACACTGACAGTCCTGATAAGAAACTAGTGAGCAACTGTGAGTGTGAGTTTAACAAACTCACTATCAAAGAGGACATGGAAGAACTTGTTGCGTCGTTGATTACTGATGTCTCGGCGAAACTTGAATCGTCTAGAAAAGACTTATCAGCGATAGTGGATGTCAAAGATAAGAAACTGGTTCACGAAGTACAAAGATTGAGTGCTAAAATAGAATCCCTGAGCGCGGAAATTACAGCTATCACCCATGATAGTTTAGGATCGGTGTATAGAGGGATTCCATCTACACAGGAGAAACAGCAAGCAATGGAGGACAGTAACAGAGAAGCGAATGTTAAGGAACCTAGTCAAAATGATGTGATGTTGTTCGGAATATCGCATGAGATAAAGCAACTAGCAGAGGCAGTGAGGTCTAGGAATGATACATGTGTGACTAAGAGCTCGCTAGAGAGGATGATAGCTGATTTGAGCGAAGAGCATCGTAGAGACTTCTCTTCTCTGAGCACTAAGCTAGATCAGCTACTGAGCCAGTTTAGGGATGACGGTGCGGAAGTCAGAGCTACCATTAGTGAGATGAATGATCGGATGGAGAGTTCCCCATTGAGACCCAGTGCGCCAGGGACTCAACATACTTTTAATTTTCAACAAAGGAACAATCAGAATAGACACCAGGGCGGGATTAATGACATCGCCAGACCTCCCGTGACGACTCCCCACCAAGGAGTAGGAGTCAGCGAAATGCAGAGGCAGCTTTGGGCGGCAGTTAATAAATTGGATTGGCCTAAATTCTCAGGGCAAGGAGAATATGACCACACAGAGTTTATTGATTGGATTGATGATTGTAGAGAAGAGACATCAATCCCCGATGAGTACATTCAGGTGAAGCTTCTCTCTATACTCACTGGTGTGGCAGGTCAATGGTACAAAACGTTGAGAAAGGATCATAAAGAAGAAAAGTGGGATTTCTGGAGGGAAGAGATCCGTAAGCAATATGGCACGTCGAATTGGATGCGTAAGAAGCAAGAATCCTTTGAAAAAGACAGATTTGTGCCTGGAGAAACGCCTGTATCTTCCTGGGTCACCAGGCAATACAGGAGACTCCGAGCGTTTGAACCACAATTATCGCAGCAATCCATTAATTTCCGCCTGCTAGGTCTAATGGACAGGGAAGTAGAATATGCAACTAAGACAGCTATGCATTCGACCACAGCGGATATGAGCACCCTTATCAATGTTTTAGAAGACATTGTGGATAAAACACGACTAGGTCGTAGAAAGTTTGTGACTAAGCCAAATGACAAACCACCAGTGAAGAATGTGGAAGGAAGGGATAAGTTACCTGTGACAGGAGACATTAAGTGCTACTCTTGCCAGAAACCAGGTCATACTTCCCGCAACTGTCCCTCTAAAGTACATAATGTGGGCACCCAAGAAGAGTGCCATGATGAACTGTCCAGTGAGAGTGATATTGACAATGACCATGATTTAGTAATAGGGTCTAGTGCTCAGATGGCTGTCTTGACTCCTGCGGGCCGCAACAACCTCGTACAGATGATTTGCTCCAAGAAAGAATGTACTGTTCTTTTAGATAGCGGAGCAGTCAAATCAGTAGTGGGAGCTGCTTATTTATCCCACTTTTGTGCGGATTGGCGTAAGTTCATCCTAAAGACAAAACCTGGTCGGTTTCATAGTTGTAGTGGATTGCTGAAACCTTTGGGCATAGTTAAAGTCCGGTTGGTCTTTCACTCTCACGAGCTTACTATCCAGTTTGTAGTTATGGAGAACATGCCTGTGTCGTACTTCATAATCGGTAATGATTACCTATCCTTTTACAAAATATCACTTCTGAATGACGAAGGGCGTTTTTTTTCTATACATGGTAATAAATTTGAGTTTGATTCCACCATCAATTCGGTTGTATCAGGAGAAGTTAGAACTCCAAACTTCGATGATGAAGTCCTAAGGGATGCGAAGATCGGGCCGAACCTTGAGGACCTGAAACGACAACAACTCATGGACACGTTACGCAGTCATAGTAAGGCCTTTGCGACCTTGGATGAACCCTTTGGAGCTGTTAGAGGTCACGAAGTTAAGATTACCTTGACGATTGATAGACCATACCCGCCCATACTAAGGAAAGCACCTTACCCCGCCAGCCCTAGAAGCAAAGCTGCTCTGGAAGAACATATTGATTTGCTTACCAACATGGGTATCATCCGGAAGGTGGGAGCTAACGAGAATGTGGATGTCACCACACCTGTTATCATAGCATGGCACAACGGAAAATCTAGGCTAGTGGGAGATTTCAGGGCGCTCAATAGTTATACCACGCCTGATCGCTATCCCATGCCTAAAATCATGGAATCTTTGGCAAGACTACATAAAGCTAAGTTCATTACCTGTATGGACGTCCT